AAATTGGGTGTCATCTCTATCACATCTATTTCACACGACCTATTTTCTCTGTGGATTGCATCTATTTGTTCTGAATATTGGATAGCAGAGGATTTTCTTTGGGCTTTTACAGCAGTATGCATTATTTATAGTTTCTAGGAAACACTTCTGAAACAAYTGGGGCAGGATAAAACTACTTTATTTGTGATACTTCTCTCGTAAGTATTGTGAGTTAGCCTCTGTATGTTTTAAGCTACAAAAACTGTCATCTTTCAGGGCATAATAGAGTAAATGCAGGAGCACTGTGACCCTAGCTATACTTTTCTACTTACTTCCTTTCCAACTTCAAACTTTTTTAATCTTTGGTGATGACTGCCTATTTAGTTAGTCTGCTTCCTTTCCTAAATACTGAATCAGGGTGTTCATTACTTGATTTTTAGTGTTAAATTACTTTATTTATGCTTTTCTAAACTTGGATCTCCAGTCAGTCTCTTGAGAAGTCTTTTCGAAGACTGATTAGAATTAAAATGTTTGAAATTACTGTTTGCCCTTCCCCTCTCAAAATCTGTTCCATGTATTGTCTGTAGTGCCAAAAACCAATTTGGCATTATCTAACAGATTACTGTTTAAATTTGCATCATCCTACCTGGAGTTCATGTAGTATTTATGAGGCTCAAAAATATGAAATAAAACTGGAAGTTTCCCCTACTAAACTGAGTAGCATAGTGCTTTCTGCATCTTTTCTTGTAGGTGACATACATAGAGGCTGAGCATTTGTCAGTCACTGATGGTGGATACAGCATGTCTGTGTTCAAAGAGATGCCTAAGTGTAAAGAGTTTTTGCCACTTGTGCTTGGATTTGACTGTTACAAGTATCAGTTACATAATACATAAGATGTAATTAATAAATGTGAACTTCCAGTGTGAGCTTTGAAATCGTAGCTTTTACTCTTAACTCCTTTGCTGTCTTGCAGGCTTGTGAGATGCACTACTTCTACCATGAGGCTTGTGGGTTTTCAGGTTTTTTTTTTGAAGACAAATTCAAGTCAGACTGCTTTTCCTCATTTATTTCCTCATTCCTTCCAGATAATTTCATCATTTTTACTTTTTCTACTTCAGGTGACTTTTTCTTTTACCAATCATTTAACTAACTGTTGGGATTTTTCTGCACTRTGTTGTCTAAAATTCATAGTGTCTAAAGCATAAAATCTAGTAGGAAGGTTTRCAAAAACAGCTTTAAATAAGTTTGTGAAGTAGCCACAAGAACTATCAAGGGAGTTGAGCTCAAGTGATAGTTAAGTAAGAAACTATTGGCACTGCTTTATTTAGGAWAAGTTAAATTTAATACTGCTTGTAGATCTGAGTTATGGGTAAAGTGCTGATGACACAGGTAGTGTCTTGTCCATGTTGAAGCTGAGTAGGCCCTAATTTTGAAGAGCCTCAAAAAACAAAACTGCGTATTCAAAATACCTAACACACAGTATCAGACAGAACACCAGGACAGCTTACATGAAGAGGAATAAGAGTTTTTTCAGACAATGTCATTAAGCACAAAGTAGAAGCCGGCTGGAGCTGACCCTGTCTTAATACAGGAGGAGACTAAGCAGCTTTTTGATACACATTTAAATCTGGGGATTGTTTAACTAGCAGTTTATTGTCTTTCTTCCATCRCTTTTTTGCAGGCTGAGACACACATTCTGTTTTTAAATGTGTTACTAGACGTAGAGACAGATGWGTGTTCTGGAGGACATTGCTCTCTTGGCAAATGCAGTTTGGTGTAGGAGGCACAGATGGAAGAGTCCAGTTCTGTCATTGTTCAGTTCAATCCTTATCTTCAGGCAATATGAACTAGTCATTACATTTATTAAATAATGAAGTTTCTCTTAGATATTTAAGTGGTGGCTGGTTTGGTTTAAGTGCATCTAGCTTCTGCTTGTTTTGTCGTGAAAGCARATGTTTAGACATTGAGAAATGATGAAAAAGCTGCACAGAAGGAGAACTGCTTTTGAGTTGTCCTGGTCTAATTTTATTTGAGTAAAATTTGTGYACAGTGAGTGTAGTGGTCTCTGAAATCCAAGTAAGACAAGACCTCTCTGGCTTGCACAGCCRTAGTGGTACTTGAATAAGTTTGGACTGAAGTCCTTTTTAATTAGAAACTTAGTTCTTCTTGTAACCCATTTGGTACTTTCCCACCAGGTGTCAGACATAACTTGGAATAGCTGAGATTATCTGATGGGGTGCTGGAAATAGCTTCTACTGTATTTTTTTAAAAGCTTGTCTGAATTTTCTGGAACTCAGCCATCTGTGTATGAACTGATAGACCTCTTAAAAAGTAGTTAATATAAGCAGGAATACTTAAGAGGGGTTTTTCAAACATCTGATTCCAGAAATCGGATTCTATATACAATTATTTTCATTGCTTATTCAAAGTCAAGATTTATCTTYATCTGTGGTGAAGAAGGTGATTCTTAACTCTCAATTATTGATAATTTCTAATTAAACCASTAATCTTAAAGCATAATTTCAATTTGTAAGACGTTTTGTGTTTTCTTAACCTTTCTAAATAAATAAAACTTTTAGAGAACACTGTTGAATTTTATATGATAACCTAAATTAAACAAAGSTGAAGTAAATAGAATCTCATTCACCAATTCACTGAGGCCATAAAGGACTTCTGGAGATAAGCTGGTCATTTCTTGAGAAGCAGATTCTCCTTCAGCAGGTTGCTTGGGACCATGKTCAGTAACACTGTTGAGTATTTCCAGGAATGGAGATTTCACAATCCCTCTGGTTGCCTATTTCAGTTGTCTGCCACTCTGATGCTGAAAGCGTTTTTCTAATTGTAAYGTCATAGAATAAAATTGCATCAATCAATTCACACTCATCCTGAATAAATTACTGGGTCTTTTTGGTGCACCTTCCTAGGCTAGTTTCCTAATACTTACCGAGTTTTAACTAAGAGTGTCTCCAGAAGAATGGTCGTTAAATTAATCCTTTACAACAGCTGGGTAAGTTCTTTGTCTGCAGTGTTCTGGGTGTTTTTAATATAAAAAGTAGACCATGTCAACAGGTAGGGTAGGAAAAATAATTTTTTCACAYCTTTTTCTGTTTCATCTGGAATGAGTGAGTATTGTATTGGAAACATCCTGTACTAAATAATTTTCTGACTGAGATTTCAACATAATTTGAGGTTGTCATTTAAAAGGGCTCCTTAGGAGATTATTAGCAAACACATGAAATYGGCATTTCTATATTTGGAAATAAGACTGAGATCAGTCATGCACAAGGAGACATTCCTCTTTTTGTTGGGAAGAGTTTCTGCAGACAGTAGGAGTGATGGAGGTGACAGGYATAGAAATCACTCTGCTGTAATCAAGCTAATAAGGAAAAAGGCCTCTAGGATTAGTAACTCAGCTATATCTAGGGAGRGCTATAAATGAATGCAGAAGCGCTTTTGGGTATTTCCATATGGTTTGTTACAGAAACATGACAAACTGCTGAGGCTGAAGGCATAAGGATGGTGGAGTCTAACCTCCTGCTCAGAGCAGGATTCTTTAGAGCAGGTGCTCAGTGTTCTATCCCATTGGGATTTGGATTCTCTGTTRATGCATGTGTTATCCTGTTCATGGCTCCATCCAGACAATTTGTGTTTGCCTGTGGTGTTTTGAGGAAGAGATGGGAGACAATGAAAGTAGCTTTGGGGGGAGGTTGGGTGGTGGTGTCCTCTGACCTTTGGTGTCATGGTAGGCATAATTGGTGTAAAATTATAAATGCCAGGGGTGATGGCCTTGTTAGTAAACCCTTGCATCATATTGTATTAAGTGCAAAATTTCCTGCTGGTTTTTCTTTTGCATTACATACTGTTAAATGAATACTGTATAGATCCCATACAAGAACTTAAAACAGCATGAGTTCTGTTTTATCTTTCTTTGGTAATAAATGTATTTGCCATTTGTGSTTTATATAATGTTGTTCATTGTTTTATATTGTTGTGTATCCAAGCTAATGACTCTAACTAGCATTTTGTGAATTGGATGTGTTGGATACTTCCCTATGGCTCSTTGACAATTTTTTTGACCTTTGCTTTGGAAAAAAAAACAAATAGAAAAACACCAAACAAAAAACCTCAAGAGTATGGGAGCATTTCTGGAAAGATTTGTGCTAATAAAGGGTAGTGTTCTTACTAAGTGGCATCTTTTCACTGTGTTAAAATTTTCCATCTATTTGCATTCTTATGCACTAATAATACTTCTAAAGTAATATTCTAGTTAGGGTTATATAGTGTAGGTTTTGAAGTTGCTAAACAATGACTACTGCAAAATTTAAGTGTTAAATAGGTGCTTRAGCAGAATAATGTTAGAAAGGGGCTGTTGTTCAAAGATAAGAGCTAATCTAAAATGCTTTAAGTCCATCTGTCATCTGAATTTACAACACTAAAAAAATGTGAAAATTATACTGTGTCTTTGGCTTGTACCTGTTGTTTTAAATATTGGAATAAAATGGGCCCTCCTTGTTATCGAGGGGCTGTATCTACTGTGAGAGTAACATCTGTAAAATGTTTTTGCTTCCAATTTGGGTCAAATTCTGACATTGAGTGAGTTTCAAATTTACTTCATGTTCAAGCACTAGTCTAAAATTTTGCCGTTACACTTTCTATGTTCAATAAAAAAGTTTAAGAGTGAATAGTGTATTTCTGACACCACTTTAAACCTGATGCTTCTGCACATCCTCTAGTGTCTAACAAACCATAATACACTCCTGAACCTGTACTGCTTATTAGTTTTTAAGTCTTGCATAAAACTGAATGTAGCAATTTTTCTGTTGAACATAAGAAGAGAGGGAAAGCTACATGAAATCTACTAATGCTAGTGGAAAAATAAGATGTGACCCAATTTTTGTTACTTGGGGCAAGTAATGTTCTTCAGTATAAGCAATGTTTTCTCAGTGTCTCTATAGGTTTTTAACAGTTAGCTGTCCTTTGTGTGGTACTGACGATGACTTCTATTTGTCTTTTTAATCAGGACAGAGCTTGGGTTATGGTTTTGTGAACTACGTTGACCCTAAGGATGCCGAGAAAGCTATCAATACCCTGAATGGATTGAGACTTCAAACTAAGACTATAAAAGTATGTAGTGTTAAAATAATTTAAAGAAACTGTTTCCATTTCCTGATTTGTTTTGCCTTTACAAGTGTAACAAGCATTCTGCTAATGTCATTAGAATAAACAGGGTCTTAATGTAGCGAATGATTCTTTGTAGTCTGGTTTGATTAACTACAGAAAGTATAGAAAATTTCTTTTTCTTAACCCACTTAACACTTTATATRTACAGTTGAATTGTTTTAACTAAGAAATCATTCTGTATGCTTTAGTTGAAGAAATGTAGTATTGCATGTGCTTGAACACCATGTGCTTCCTCATTTTCTCAAAGAGGTATGACTTTCTTATTAATACTGAAGATTTATGTTGCTAGTTGTCTTGCTCCTCTTACAAATCCCTAAAATGAAATGCTGAAGTAATTTTTTTTTGTTTTCTATTAATTATTTTATTTTTAGGGCTCTGATCTTTTGGTTTCTAATGTTTGGTATTCCTCTCTTTTTCTGTTGTATTATAACTCCTCACACACGTTTACTAAAAACAGTTTCTTGAATTTCTAGAAACAGAAATATTGAGAGTTACTTTTTTCATCTCCTCTTTTAATCCATTAACAGAAGACTGAGGATACTCATTTGAGCAACTGCGCTCTGAAATTCTGAGAGAGASGAGATGAAATAAAGTTAACAGGGAATTCAGACTTTTGAACATGTTTCATAGGTGTTGGTGCTTCAAGGCAGTATGTTTCAACCAGCCCGTTCTTGCTCGTTAGACAGCAGGGTCTGCTGGCTGATCACTTGCATAGAGACTGCCTTCTAACTAGGAGAATGTTTGAGCCATGAAATAAATAAAGTTCACCTCTCAAAAGGTTTGTACTTAAAAAGCAATACAGAGCCACTGAAAGGCAGCGGAGACAAAAATAAGGTAGCAGTAATTTTGGCTAGAGTGCCTTACCTGTTCTGGATTCGTAAGATTTAGTGAAGTGAATTATACTACTTGAAACTTTACTACTGCTKTGTAACAAATGGTGACTCATGGCASAGAAGTACARTGCATGAAAGCCATGGACACAGATGCTTTGTGCTGAAAGCTCCCTGTGTGTTTCTGGCAAACATCTTGCCCRCATCCTCTCTTGTTTTCTGCTTTCAGGAAAAATTGAATAAATTTTGTTGCCCAGGACTTACAAGGCTGCCTTTTGGGTGGTGGTGAGAAAGGGAATGCTTGTGCTCTAGTAGTACTGTTTTGCATGGAAAGCGTGGATTGAGCAAACATGACTCTGATGTCCAGGGTGTTGAGTTGGGAGCTCTGTTGACTACAGAGGCAAAAAAGGAAGGGGTTATCAAGCCAGGTCTCCCAAGTCAAAATGTTCCCTTCAGAGAGCTTTCAGTCAGAAACAACGGACTGTCCTGACCCTGGTGCTCTGGACTGGGGCTGTGACAGATTTGTCTGATCCACAGCTTCTATACCAGCCTGCTAGTCATTGGATATGTTTTTCTGATCCCTAAGGACATAACACTTAACTGTTTCCTTGAAATAAAATACATTGAAAAATGTGGATTTGCAAAATGCAGGCTTAATGGGGTTTTTTAAATATTGATAGCAGTGTAAAATCCTATTACCTCATCCCTTTTTTAGAAGATCCTGTGGAATGCTTTATTGGATACTTTTCTGATTTTTTTTTGCAAAGTATCTTAACCAGCTTTCAGGTGTGTATCTCCAAAGCAAGTCACAGCAATCTTAGTCATGTTTAACTTGGTGCCAGTTGTGAAGTTTGGGCTTCGTTTGATTATGCAGCTTTAATATGAAAAAAAGTTACATCTTGGAAAATACTTTCTGTGGTTTTTCTTTTGGAAGATGATTCTGCCGGCAAGCTCTTTTCCTCTGTTCTATTTAAGAGTCTGTAAAAATGAGGTTTTTTGTTCTTGGATTATTCTGCTTATTTGCTTGCTTTTCCCCATGACTTTTTTTCATTTGGGTTGTCCTGGAAAGATAAGTTCTTCCTAAATGTGAAMAACTCAGGGGAACAAACAGATTATGAGAATCACTGATTTACACATAGTGATAAGAAAATTAAGTGCATGTTTTCATCTTGGCTTTTGTTTGGGAGAGGAGACATGCTCCATAGCTTTCCCCTCCCCTTTTGTAGGGTTTTTTTATGTGGAAACTCATAAAATTAAAAAAACAGGCAAGTGAATTTATTGTGAGGTTATCTGAATGGGAGTATCTTTCAATGTGGATTAAAAGAGTTCTTCATTAAAAAGAAWTTTTTTGGCTACAAGCACAAGATGTACTTTGCCATCATCGCTTAGTTGATGGCCCTGCTGTGGAAAGTGTGATGAGAAGAGCTAGTTAAGACTTAAATAGAAGAGTGATACTAAGCAGTTAGCTTCACAAATGCCAAAAAAAGTGCAGTATAGCAAGGGAAGATTTGAAGTGAGGGGTGTGCTTCAAGCTTGTTAGTGTTCTTTGAGTCATTGGCGGCCTGAATCACTATTTAGATTTACACCAAGATTAATTGCAAAGGAGTAATTTTCTAACATAACTGTTGCGTAGTTGCACCCTTAAGAAAATTTACCAATGTCAGTACTCTTTGAGAATACTTTGTCTATTTAATGGAAATAACAGAATATTAAAAAAAAAGGTACATGCTGGTTTGATTTCTGTGTTTAGTACAGCAGATAAAAAAAAGAGATTGCTGTCCTCACCACTGATAATTTTAGAGAAAAAATTGGTTAATGTCATTTTTGTAGTGATTTTCTGACTAACTAATGTCCCTGGGTAGCAATGAAGTACACATGAGTTGTGTAAAAAGTCTGTATGAAAATACCAGAGGCGAGTGAGCTGTGAAGATGAGAGAAAACCTCCTTATAATCTTGATTATTTTTTTTTAAATTATCCCCTTCTCCCCCTGCTCAGTGTTAAAGAACATTGATCTTGYATAGAGCAAAAGGGAACTCTATCTGAAAGTTTAATTAAAGCTTGTGAGGTTTACTGATGTCAATCARCAAAGGTTGAGAGAGGGGCTGTGGTGCCAGAGCATTTAGTGGTCTTGACAGAGTAATTAAATACCTCAGGACTATATTCCTAAGGTAAAATTGAACTGCTSTAGCAGATCTGAAACAGAAAAAACATTTTTTCTTGGAAGAAAGGTAAAGTATTTTTTTTTCCTTAAATATCTGCAGGAGTTAYGTAGTTTATAATTATTCAGTCTTCTAGCTATATTGATAGTTAAAGCTTTGACAGCATTTTCATGCTACACATAAACACACACACACCTTTTCACCCCCAGGTAAAATTTCTTCTCCACTGAAAATCACATCTCTTCAGACTTTGAATGTTACTTAGCCAGCTTAAGCTGGCTGCTTGTTTTTCATGGAGCTGAATAATGTGGAGAGGAGGATTCAATTCTTAATGCATGTCGCTGTCACTTCCTGTAAACCACGTTATGGCCACATGGTTGTTCGTTCACACACAGGGTCAGGCCAAACCATAAAATGTGTTGTTCTCACTTTCGGCAATCATGGTTTGTTTTGTGTTTGAGCCCCAAGTGCCATGTTGCTGCTGATTATAGTGTGTTACAGGAGCCCATCCCTTTTTCTCTGAGGGAGAGAATCCTTGGACCAGTGCAGCTCACCCCTAAGGCTGCTGAGCAGTTTTACAGCCAGAAAGCCTCAGCAGTTCAGTARGGTCCTTCCTGAGGTGGATAAGGGATTCCTGACACAGAAATGGAGTTGTTAGATGGGGCCAGCAGTTGTTAGATGGGGCCAGTGTAGAGCTGATGGAAGTTGGCAAGCATTGCTSAAAAGCTGGGTTTTATGCAAGCAGAAACAAAAAGAACTAGTTAACAAAACCAACAAAAACTACTTTTACTTCTGAGATTGATGCTGCATCTTTGTACCCTGCCCTCCCCATGCTATGCAAAGTCCTCTAAGAAGGTTGTGGTTTTCTGCAGGGATTCAAAATGCTGTAAATGCCAGGCAGAGATCTGTCCATTGTTTTTAGATGGTTTGTTTGTTTGTTTGTTTAGGGGTTTTTAAATTATTACTTTATTTTGTTTTAAATCCAGTATCCATTTCTTTGTAAAAGTGTTTTTATTGCTGTAAAATACGCTTATGCTTACTTTTGAAATTATGGCAGTGTTGAGACAAACAGACTTGTGTTAAGCTAGCAGCTTTCAAGCTTTTTCATTATAATAACTGTTGACTCTGTTGTCTTTCATCCATACAGTAAGAGTTTTTCTAGAAAGGTTGTTAGATATTCCAGTGAACTCTTTAAGTTGCAATGGATGTGTTTTGTGCATTTCTATATAGTGCCAGAGTCTCTGTCAATAGTAGCAGCTTCTTAGGTATAACCTGAGGCTTACTCATTTCTTTCAGGAGGGTAATTGAGATCTTCTGTTTCACAATTTTATTCCTGTTTGTGTTATTCATGTGGAGGACTTAATATTATATTATGTGCTCTTGTCCTCCTTGAAGAGTAACTGCTTATTTTATTCCTAGTGTGTCTKAAATTCCTGGTGCTCTCACTGTTAGGACATGAGTGGGGATCAGAATCATAAATGTAAAGTCTGAGGAGAGGTCTTTTGAGACTGTAAGAATGTGAAAAGTATAAAATGGAGAATATTTGGAGACTGGATCTCCTGTCATATTTTTTTTGTACTTAAATTCAAGTTCAGTATTTCTTATTTTTAACAAGACAGTGATAGTTCCTAACTGCAAGTGTAAAAATGTTCTTCTCCGTTTTTGTCATTGTAAAGGTAAAACAACATAATTGCTGTTCTGTGATTGTATTGCCTAATTTCTGTCTCATGTTTTATGTCAGTAAATTTAATTAATCTTGTTTTTCTTTTATCAGAWGTTTATGACCCTGATTTAATGTAGGTGAGCAGTAACAGTATCTTGAGCACTTCTGGGAAAACCTCTATTTCTGTTTTCATGGGTCGCAGGATTTCCAGCTGTTTTCTGTTTTTAGCACTCCACATCCACATGGTTCACCAAGTGTTCACTGCAGTCCCTTGTTTTGAGTGTCAGTTG